AGCCCCTCTTGCAAGGGGGGGGTGCCAGCTGCCTCCTGGGCGGGGGGGGCATGGAGCAGGGGCGCTGCTGCCTCCTGGGCGGGGGTGGCATGGAGCAGGGGCGCTGCTGGGCTGCTCCCCCCTCGCTGCTAGCACAGGCTGGGGGCTACACTGCCGCCCCTTACCTGAAACCCCCCCACAGGCATAGTTGTGAAGGATCCCAGCATCTACGACACGCTGGAGTCGGTGCGCTCCTGCCTGTACAGCGCCGGGCTCATGAGCGGCTCCCCCCTCGGGCAGATGCTGTCGGGCGCGGGCAGCACCTATGGCAGTGCCAGCTGTGTCAGCACTGCCACAGATGAGAGCGAGGACTCCCTCTACCAGACTTGCCTCTTCGACTCGGCTGACTCGCTGGACACGGCATCCACCCGTCATGGGACCACCGCACCCCCCGCCCTCTCGCCCCGCCGGCCCGCGCTGACCCGCAGCGCCAGCGTCAAGTGCACGGGCAGTGCCAGCAGCAATGGGGCGGCCGGCCCTTTCTGGGACAAGCCCTGCGCCCCGGCCAGTGGCGTCGCTGGCCCCCGCAAGAGTAAGCACACCAGCTTCCGCAAGAGACTGCTCAAGTTCATCCCTGGCCTCAACCGCTCACTGGAGGAGGAGGAGAGTCACCTCTAGGCACCGACTGGGCGCGGGGCACATGGGGGTACAGCCACCTTCCCAGGACTTATTTATTTATCTATTTATTGGCCTGGCCCCAGGTGACCGTGGGGTGCTTGTGCCTGGGGGACGATGCCATGGAGGTAGGGGAACTCCTGGCTGGTTTTACCTCTATGGCGAAGCCCGAGACCTGGTCGGGGGCAGTGCGTGCCTGTTGGAGGGGAGCACCTCTGTCTGCCGGCATGGTGGGGCTGGAGGTCAGACCCTGCCCTGCCAGGCACCCAGGCCCTGGGTGTGGTGCTGTGAGCGGGTGTCCACAGGCCTGGTGCTCTCAGGCGAGGCCAGCCTGCAGGGAGTAGCCATGGCACAGGCATGGTGCAAGGAGCTGCTCTGAGCACCGCCGGGCGCCAAGGCCCTCAGCCACCGCCCAGCTGCAGGGAGCCCTGGTGCATCTTTGCACCGTGTCCTGCCTCGCCAGTGTTCTCGGCTGTTACCCACGTGCCTGCGTGATACTCGGGGACTTGGGGCCGGCCCGTGAAGCGTAGAGCCCCTGGGCCAGCCCCGGGCTGCGGCCGAGAGCTGCTCTCCGCAGCCTCCTGGAAAACTTGGCTTTAGCTGTGTCTGGGCCGTAGCTCGTCCCTGCGCTCGGGGGCGGAGAGACTGTTTCCACCGCGGGGAAGTTCCCGGCTGAGCTGCCACGGCGCTGACTCTTTATCTCAGGAAATGGAGCAGGAAGGAGGTGGCTGGGCCTGAGGCAGCTCCACGATGTGCTGGGCGGCAGGACGGGCCTGGCTGGAGGCCCCAGGGCAGGGGAGCTCTGTACAATGTCACTGCTTGTGGTGGGCACAGAGGCGTTCAATACAGCAAGACTTTTTTGCACCCGCGTGCGGCTGTCGTGGCTTCGTGGCCGCACAATGGGGGGCAGCTTTACCCAGGGAAGGCTGGCAGCTGGCTCCCCGAACCCAGGGCTCTAGGCTTCCAGCCCCTGGCAGCGCCAGTCTGGTTGCTTTTTCTGGGACCTGCCTGTCAGGGGGTGATAGGCCAGATCCTGTTTCCCAGGGGCGCTGAGCCTCGTGGCAGCTGTGTGCTGTCCCTTGGGGGGGCACAGATCCAGGCACAACCACCTGGCCGGCCACAGGGTGCTGATGTGGCCATGGCCTTGGGAAGTGGCTTGAGGCTGGCTTCAGCCATAAGGAGCCCTTAGCTCCTCTGCTGGGGCGCGGCCTGGCTTCTCCCAGTGCAGCGGCCAGGCCGGAGCCCTGCATAATTGCATGTGGGCAGCTCGCTCTGCCCCGTGTCAGGAATAGCCCAGGATCAAAGCAGGAGGGTGGGCATGGGCCCTGGGCCACAAGCCTCCTCTTGCCACAAAGCCTTGAAGCAGCCCATGCTGCTGCCAGTGTCCGCCCCAGGATTGTGCTGAGACCCTGGGGGTGATGTGTGATTCAAAGATGGGGCAGGGGGGCTGTTTCCCCAGCTGCCCGGTGCTGCAGAAAAGCTGGGGGTGGGGATGATCCCAGCCCCCGAGCCCGGTGCTGCTGCCCCCCTGCCTGAGGGCGTTGGGGGCGGGTGTGAAGGGTGGTGACAGCAGGGTTGGTGGTGCCACCATCCCTGAAATCCCCCCAGCACTCCTGACCGTGTGGGTGGGTAACACCGAATGACTCAATGGAGCGATGAGACAAAGGAGCGAAGGAGCAAGTCGGGGGGGGGGGCCTGGCGCAAGGCCTCGATTCTTACCCTGCAGCGGGGGCACCTGCTTGCAGCGGGGGGAAGGTGGCAGTCTCAGCCTCAGTCTCCCCGTCCCGGGGGGAGGGGCCAAGAGAGCTGGCGGCACGAGACCCAGGACCAGGCAGGCCAGAAGCCAAATGCTGACGTGAGCCCAGCTTCTCCCCTCCGTCTCGGCAAGCAGCCCCCTTGCGCTAGGCGCTGCACGAAGGCGTGAGCCTGGCCCCGAGCCCCTGCCGTCCCCGCGCTGGCACAGAAAGTCCCTTTGTGCTTCAGGGACGTTTGCCCTTGAAGGATGGAAACAGCAGCTGTTCGTTAGCGTGGGCTGCAACCACCGCCTGACGCAGGCTTTGGGTCTTCACGGCTGCGGCTGGGCCACAGCCACGCGTCTGTCCCCACCAGCTCGTAGGGCCAGGGCTGCCTGAGGAAGGCTGCAGGGCCCTGCCCTGGTTTGCATGGGCACCAGCGCCCTTCCAGGGCCCACGGGGCTCCAGCATGGCTCCACCCCAGAGCTGGGCGCCTTCCAGGGCTTGCACCTGTCCACAGCAGCTGTTTATCTGGTGAAGCCAGGAGGGGATGGGGCCAGACAGTTACACTCAAGCAGACCTCGCTGCCTCTCTCCTGGCAGCCTGGCATGGGGTGGGAGGGTGCATGCATGCATGCATGTGCATGAGTGTGTGCGTGCATGTGGTGTATACCCGCTGCCCCTGCTGGGGGGTTGTGGGGGGGATCTGCACTGCTCGTCCATGTTGCGCGGTCTGGGACAGCCCCGGTTTCAGTCTCCCAAGGCCGGCTTCAGTGTGCTGAGCTTGGTGGGGCTCATCCAGTGCGGCACCCCCAGCTCAGTGCAAAGGGCCCGTAGCTGCCAGGTGCTGCACTGGGGTAGACGGATGCCTCTGCAGCAGGGTTGCTTCCAGGCGCTCGGGGCTGTGGCCCTTGGTAGCTGCTGGTGCTGGGACCGTGGGAGGGGGACAGGGCAGGCAGCCCTTGTGTGCTCGTGAAATCCCCGCGGGTTCCCCCAGGCCCCTCCCAGCGGCGCCCACAGTTGCCTGGGTCCGTTGGGGAAAGGGCGCAGGGCTGTGCCGCGAGATAAGGCAGGGGAAGCCTGGTGCAAACGCCGCGAACCGCAGGGCTGGCAGGTCCCGGCGCGTGGGCCTTGCCCTCGTCATCAAAAGCCACTGGGGTTTGGAGGGGGAGACTGGAGTGATGCTGGTGTGGGCCAGCATTGCGGCAGGCTGGGGAGAGGCGTGGATCCCCTGGCAGGAAGATGCCATGGTTGATACCATGAGGTGGTTTTTGGACTGGGGGAGATCCCCCTCCTCCTCAGCTCTGGGTGACTCAGGGTCATTGGAGGGCGGGGACCTGTCCCGTGCTGTGTGGCCACTGACCCCTGCTATGGTTTACAAATGCCTCCAGTGGAGTATCTCTCCGTGTCCCCACTCCAGCCCCACTGCCCCAGCCCTGCCATGGGCCCAGCTTCCTCATGGGGGTGAGTTTGGAGTTGGCTGCTTCTAATCCCCAGTGCAGCTGCCACACTCGCAGCTGGGGCTGAGCCACACGGGCTAGGAATAGTGTTCAGCCCACGGCTTGTGAGTGAGGCCAGAAGTGGGGCGGGGGGCGGGGGGCCTGCACGCACTACCGTCCCTGTGGGAGGTGTGCATGCGTGTGCCATCCAGGGGAGCGGGGTTGGAGGGTTTGTGCCAGCTCAGATCAGCAGCACTGGCCTGCCCGCCTCGGGCAGAGCACCAGTGTCAAGGGCAGGGCTGGCCTGGTGCTCTCCATGGCATCTCCCAGCCCCTTTTAGGAGAGCCCTGGGTGCTTGGCGCCTTTGAGGACTGGCCTGAGCACGTCCCTGCATGTGCAATGCATGACCCTGCGTGCGTCTTATGTGCATGTCTGCATTGATGCACACGTGTATGTCCGTGGGCCCAGCACTGCAGCTGCTGGGGCATTGCCATGACCTGCTGCTCCAGAACGAGGCCTGGGTCGGAGGGGCTGGAAGGCCAGCAGCTGGTGATACTGCCAGGACCCGGCCCCCGCTGGCGGCATGCAAGGCACGGAGCAGCTGTGCCCAGCCCCGCGCATTCCCAGCTGCAGCAAATGGCTCTATCACCACCTGCACCTACAGGGACATGCGGGGCCGGAGCTGGGGCGGGGAGGGTGTCACAGGTGCAGCTCATGCACCTCCCTCCCCCGTGGCCCTGGCAGCACTTCTGGGGTCCCCAGTATAGGGGTGGGGTGGTTGTTTCCCTCCTGGGTTGGAGGTCAGGGTCTCCCCTGTTGCCCCGGCCATGCTGGGCCCCTGGCCTTGACCCCACATCCATTGTCTGCAGCTTCAGCTTTATTCGTCCCTTGACCTTCACCCTCTCAGCCCATCTACTGGGGGCATTGGGGCTCGGGACCGGTGTCCTTGCAGGGGCTCCCTGGGCCCTGAGTCTGGGCAGGCAGGAAGCAGCAGGCGCCCGCAGGCCCAAGCCCTTCTCCCCTCATTGGGGCAAACATCGCCTGGGCCTGGGCCTGGTGCTTGCTGCCGAGCTGGGCCACAGCCAGCTGCTCTTCCTGCCTCGCTTCCTCCAGCTCTTGCAAAATGTTTGGAAGGAGGTTCCCACCCCTGCGCCTTTCCTGTCACAGCCTGGCTGGGTGTGGAGTGGGGCCCTGTGCCGCCACCAGGCTGCTGTTCCGGGCCACGGGCAATGGCTCCAGGCTGCCTGGTTTCCCATCCATGCTGCCCGGGGTCAAGGCTAACTCCGAGAGGGACGTGCCGCCCACTAGCTACGTGCCCTTGGGCCGTGCAATGACCCTGGGGTATGGGGGCGGCGCACCCAGCTCCCTGCAGGCTGTGTGCGCGCATGGTCATCCTAGCCTGCCACCCAGACCCTGTGTCTGGCGTGGCTGCCCCCAGGCCACCTTGCAGCCAGCGCAGCGCAGCCCGGGCCCCATCTAGAGGGAAAGCAGAGAAGGCCTGAGGGCCTTTCTGCAGGGCTGTGGGTCACTAAGGGGCTTCTCCATCCTGCTGCCCAGGCCTGACGGCGAGGAGCGTTGGGTGCTGCAGTGCTGGGCCCAGCCTGGCGTGCTGTGCTCTTTGCCCCCGTGCAGCGAGGGGTGCTGTCCCAGGCACGGGTGTGGGTTGCTGCCTGCTGCAGACAAGCTGCCCTGGTGCGGAGTGTGGGACTGGGGCACTGGAAGGAGCCGGATCCCAGTGGCTGGTGAGTCCCAGACCCGGTCCCCGTCCCCCCCTGCCCTGTGCACAGTGCCTCAGGCTGGCGAGGCTTGCAACAGTGGGACCCCTGCCACTGCCCTGCGTGGCGGCCCTGGTCCAGTCCCTCCCTCTCCCATGAGGCAGGCAGGAGCCTGGTCTAGAGGGTGCAGGACAGGGGCAGGCTGTGCAGCTGGATCCCCCAGGCAGGAGGGGGGCTCCCCTCGAACTCAGTGCCTGAACTCACTGGAGCCTGAACTCCAGTGGAGGTGGCTGCAGTTATTCCCCAGGGCTGTGGGCCTGGCCCTGGGCAGAACTGGCACCCGCCAGGCCAGCAGTGCCCCTGGCCCGTTCCCTTGACCACCCCTTGCACATACGTGGCCGGTCCAGGACCCGGGTCTGGGTGTGTCTGCACAGGACATTGGCCCTGCCCCGCTCATGTCAGCAGGACCAGGTGGCAGCCCTGATGTCAGGCTCTGGCTGGACCTGTGCCAGTGTTGGCAGCCCCATGGGCCGGAGCCATGGAGACCTGTGCCACCCTGCATGCCATGAGTGTGTGTGTGTGTGTGTGTGTATGACAGAGAGTGCACATGCACATGTGCTGCCCCCTGCTGGGGACAATGGGAACTGTGTGTGCATGGGTGTGTGTGAATGTGCATGTATGTATGCGTGGGTGTGTGCATGCATGCACACTCATGTGCATGGGGGTGTGCATGCATGTACATTTGTGTGTATGGGGGTGTGTGCATACAAGTGTGTGTGTGAATTGTGTGTCTGCATGGGTGTGTGCATGGGTGTGCATAGGACATGTGCGTGGGCGTGTCCCATGCACGGGCACGTGTGTGTGTATGGGGTTGTCTGTGTGCATGAGGGTGCACATACATGTGCATGGGTGGGTGCATGTGTGTGTGCGTATACCTGTGCGTGAGTGTGCATGAGCGTGAGCATGCACACACGCTGCCGGAATTGGAACTGTGTGCGTGCATGAGTGTGTGGGACCGTGCACGGACGTGTGCATGGGCGTGCGCGCACGGTGAAGGGTGGGCATGTGTATGGGGGTGTCTGTGTGCGCACGTGTGCATGTGTACGTATGCATTTGTGTGCGTGCATGCGGTGCACACCCGCTGCCCCCTGCCGGGGGAGATCCGCACTGCTCGCCCGTGTGTCCGCGGTCCGGGACGGCCCCGGGTTCAGCCTCCCGAGGCCGGCTCCGGTGCGCTGAGCCCGGCGGGGCTCATCCGGCGCGGCGCCGGGCACGGAGGGCACCCCCGGGGGCCGAGCGCGGCGCGGCG